ATACACATCCATGGAGGAGTGAGTTTGGTCTCGTCAAGGTCTCGTAAAATGGATATTTCAAACTTAAGTCGTAGCAAGTCGACACCGCGTAAAGTGAAAGACCTTTTGTCATCCTTTATCTACGGATCTGTTTCCGATGATAATCAATGGTAAGAAAGAGAAATTATAAATTAAAATAAAATTGCCCAGGGACACGTCGGTGATTTGTTAACCCTAGCTAGGCTAGGCTAGGAGGAGAGGAAGGAGATACCTCAAATACCCCTAGCCTAGGCCTATCGTAGCAGGCCCCGGCCTCTAGAACATTTGCTACCTCTGAACGCATCACAAAACAAAAAAGAGTGTTTCTTAGTTTCTTTTCCTAGTATATAGATTATAAAAATGTTTAGCCATCTAACCTATTTTTAAATTTAAAAAAAAAAAGTGTTTATTTTGCTTTTTTGCTGAATATTGTACCAAATTAACAAAATTATTTTTAAAATTAAATATGAGCTAGGGGCCTATTTTCCTTCCATTTTTTACTAGGCCTAGGCCCTAGGCCTAATCATTAGTTAAAAATGTCTCTCCAGAAAATAACTTTACAGTTTGTAGTTTTATGGTGAACTTGTGCATCTGACTTTAAATAATTTTTCTTCATTATTACAGTTTGTTAAAAGCTTGCAATGAAAAAAAACCATCAGAGTTACCAAGTGATGATGTAGATGGTTGGAGCCAAAAAGATGATTCTTTAGTTGACCACAAAAGAGTATTTCATCCTGATGATAAAAAAGCATACTACCAAAGAGTACAAACCTACACTGTATCCTTTTCCTATATTAATGCAGTATACAGTTTATGAGTTGTATAATTAGTAGAGTTATAAATTTAAGGAACCATAGGTTTCGGAGGTGAGAAGTGTTTAGAAACCATGCATGTCAGTGAAATTTCTTTGCCCATTAGTGGCCGTGTGATGGGGATTTTGAGAGGAATCCCCTTCCTACCTAAGAAATAAATATTATAAAGCTGAAAAGACTGCATTATCAATATAGCATGCATCGGTAACTTGCTCAATCATTTGGTGTCAGTAGCATAACAAAAATTATCCTGGCGAGGCTGTGTCCTGATAGAGCCCAGTGGAGTACATGGCAAACTCTGCCCGCTTCAGCGTTCTGATGTTTTAAAGGCATATTTTGGTATTTTGTTACTTAAAAGGCTGATTTGAGGAAAAAAACTCTATACTGCTGAACGTCCCAGGCCCCTTAACTCATAGCCTTTACGGCACTGTTTGGTGTATTGATCGAACGCCATTGAAGTTTCTCCGATATAAGCATCAATCAATCATCTTAATTCTAAGGAACCATCCCTAATGCAAAAAACTTGACCTCAACAATAAAAATTTATAGATGGAAAAATATTTATTTTGCATCTAATTGTAGGACTACACCTATAATATAAGGCCTTTTTTCTTCTAATATGTGACTGCTAAGATTGTTAAGGGATTAAATGTCACTATTTATAAATGGAAAAAAAGCTTATTTATTTTGCATCTGATTGTAGGACTACACCTATAATTATAAAGCCTCTATTATTTGGAATGGATAATTTTTTTTCTTTTTTCTTCTAATATGTGAAAACTACTAAGATTGTTAAGGGATTAAATGTCGCTATTCAGAAAACGACAACCTATTTCAAGTAGAGTTCTGTTTGGGGTAATAGACTTTGCAGGAAAGCTAGGCACTCACTGCGCGCACGTGCTCGCAACAGATTCTTTTTAATGATGATCTTTTCAGACTACCACCGAAAATCAGCAGATGGTGTTGCATCATCTAGTTTAGTGCTCACAGAGAGCAGAGTGAGATTTGTCGTACGGCGCGGTGAATTATGCTACAGCCTTTGAGTTTTTGGTAGATTTTCCCACTTAACTGTTTTACAGTCATTCATATGGGTCGAACCACTTGCAGCACTTTCGCCACTGATGTGCGCTCGATATGGTTGGAAATGCATCAACGTAAACACACTGAAGTGTGTAAGTTGCAAGGAAGTCTTGTATGTTGGGATTCCCGATAATATTACATACGAACAGGGTACGTATAATTATACCATTAAAACTTACACTGTATTGACATTATGGACGTCAATTTATATTTAACTACTAAATAATTATTATTTTTGTCTATATTATTTATACATTTAATATACTGTATTGTACTGAAATGTTGAGTCTGAAGTGTATCTTGCCACGTCCTATGATTTGCATGGCAGAAAATTAGGGGAGAGTGAAAATAATGCGTTATTATTGCACCCGCCAGGGAGGTTATGCCATTACTGCTATCTTTCTGTCCAAGCTGTCTTTCTGTCTGTCAGCAAGATTACGCAAAAACTAATGAATGGAATATCAAGAAATTTAGTAGAATGTTACATAATAAGCAAAGAAACACCCTTTTTTTAAGCAGAAAAGGTCACGGTCACAGTAATTTGATTTTTGACCTTCGAGCATAAAAGAAAATAATGGAATTGCCCTTCGCATTCAGACAGCACTCAAGAAAAGAACGTGCCTGAATATGGTGGGTGATTCCATTATTTTCGTGAGGGTGGACTGCAGTTTCATCCATCAGTGGTATGCACTCTATGGAGTTATTGCTCAAGCCCTTTGTTATTGTTGTTTGTTATTATTGTTATCATTATCAGTTATTCTATTCAATCTTACTGCTGTAGAATGTGATGCCTCAAAGAAGATAATACAGTTGATTTCAACAGCACATTTAGATATTTGTCCTTGGCCGACATCACCTTCGCCAGGTAAGTAAACATTAATGTTAGCAATGATATTAAAAACCGAAAGGTCCACTGATTAATCTCAGATAAAAAAGTATAATACATACTCCAAGTATTGAAATACACGATGGCGTGTATTTCAATACTTGGAGTATGTATTATACTTTCTTATATTACATCTTAACATATGGTTCAACCAAGTAATGGTTGGGGCTTGTATTGCTCATAATACTTGTTCTTTTATGTCTATATTAGCAATTTAACAAATGCACACATGTCGCAACACTACTTCAATTCACTACGTTACTTTTATTCCTTCTTGCCCAATCTCCACAAGTCATAGAGGGTGGTAGACAGAATACTGTTAAGATGAGGTGTGGTATAATTATTGTCTAACAATAATACCTGTCCTTTATGTGCTGAGATATCCAAAACAAAAATACAAAAGCAATAATCCTATGACAATTATCCATCCGCTTTCACCTTACAGCATAGCGTTCTCTGAAAATATTGTTCCAAGTTGATCGATCATTTGCCAGGGCAGCAGATCTTTAACTTTCTGGGTCCAAGTGTTTATAGACCTGATTTGCTTATTGATTGATTGTTGCGATCCATGTATAATTTTGTCCTATAGAGAGCTCAGGGAGTCCTTTTAGAACAGACTATTGAGAGCAATCAACACCATTGCTTCACTGTCATGCAATTTTAGACCAGAAATATCCCACTCTGGCTAAACTATCTCGTTGTTGTTGTTTTAAATTACATTGAATAATGTGCTGTATATTTATTTTTCTATGAATTTAGAAAAGTTTTCTATGGTCGTGGAAACTACACGCAAGTCTACATCATTAGAGTTTGTTAATAGAGTGGAAAGTATGCTGAAAGACAAATCTACATTGCCAAGTCTTGATGTAGACTTTATTGCATCAGAAGTAAGTTGATGTTATTTGATTCACTTAATTGGAAATAATGTTTGAATGTCTGGAAAAAGCTTTCCAGATGTCCACAGACATGCAATGTGATAAACATAAATTCTTTCAAATACATAATTAAGAGTGCTAAGGAACCATTTAGTTATTCAAGGAAGACTGATTCACTAAACTGTCATTTTAATCATTCAATGCAATTTTAGACTGTAAACATCCTTGAAACTATATACTCGATTGACTGTTGCATATCTTTCTAGGATGTGGATGTGACTGATGTAATCAACACAATACGGAATATGTATAGTGAGTTACAGGAGAATGATAAGTTAGATGACGCAGAGATCTGTGCGGCTGTTTTTCTTGCTCTGTTTGGCTGGACCAACAGGTTAGTTAATGTTGACAAATTGATTAAAGTCGGTTTTACACTAGGCAAATTCATTTGTGCAAATCAAAAGCGTCACTTCAATTTCTGAGCTCTGATTTGTTGTGCATTTTTTTGCTTCACAAAAAGTAGAAACAGCTCGAACTACTGTTTTCATTGAAGCAAAAAACTCCATTAGAAATGTGAATGTGCATGAACTGATGCTATAAATTTGTGCAATAAATTCGCTTAGTGTAAAACTGGCTTAAAGTGTAATCTGACAAAGAACTTGATTTTAACCAGGTAACTTTTATAGACATGACAAACGTTATAACCACTTGAACACAAAGGTGTTGTGGTGAATGCAAATGACAGTAGGGATTAAATCCCTTTAATTCTTTTTTAATATGACATCACAAAATTTACATGGTACCTATGCCACTTGGAAAAGATGATCAGAAATTTATTTGAATTGATGAGACAAATTTAGCATAAGTAACTATATAATCATTTTTTGGTAAATTTATTTGATACTAAGCCAAAGTATTATATATTAATTTAAATAAAATAAACAACACCAAAGACAACAGCAGCTACACAATCCTATAAGACAACCAGCAATAACTTGCATTCAGCTTTATTGACAATTTTATTTTTTGTTGGAAACAGACATTAAATATTTAAAATTTGGCAGATGTATTTGTCAGTGTAGATCATCTGAGTGGATTTATTTTTTTCATTTCAGTGAGCTAGATGGTGGTTCAATCATTGTTTGTAACCATTGTAAAAGAAGTGCTGGTATGTGGAATTTTACACTGCTGAAGTATAAAGAAAAGGATAAAGTAGAAACTGAATTGGCGGGTGATAGTGGAGATAATCTTGAACCTGAACCAAAGAGACGACGACTCATGGTTTGTTGCTGCCATATTATTGTCTGAACTTATTAATAAAATATCAAGAGTTTATATTTATATCTATATACATATCTATTTACATCTATATAACTTGGGTTAATATGCACAAGTACTCTTCATTTTATATCTTTTTATTTGTTTATCTTATTCACATGAACCATGAGTGACTTGTTATTTCCAGTTCAAAACTGAAATATACAATACTCTCTAAAATAAGCTTTGCATGCATTATATATATCGGCAGATGGTTGGCTGACTGTCAGTTGACAATTTAGTTCTTTCTCTATGTGAGCGCTTGTGCAATACAGTGCTTGTCTGCTTATCATTGGTGAAAACAAATTGATAAATTAAAAGAAACAGATAATGGTATCAAGCATAGCTTTTCAAAGAAAAAGTTCCATATCATTTTTTGAAAAAAAGCTCTTGACAAACTGTGACCTCTCGCTATCAAGACCTTCATGTTAAATGTTAATGAATTGTATTTGAAATTTATTCCTATTTTTAATATTTAAAAAATGTTATATATTTATTTTTATACTATGGATTAAAGAAATTTAATCCATGTACTGAGCACCGTACCTGGTGTCCATGGATATCAAGTATGAATACCAACGTAGAAGACGCGTCAACTCCAACTGACAGCAAGGAGTGTGAGAAGGTTACACCTCCTTTGACCAAAGGCACCGACACAGACGCTGAAGATGAAGTGATCAAGCAGATGCTGGAGCAGGTAGACCCTTCGGAGGTGGGTTGGAAACAGGTGTTGCAATCGCTGAAGAGGTATCTACTAGTCGAACCAAGTGATGAGCCAAGACCAACTTTAGCAAATACTGTAAGTGGAAGTTAAGCAGTTTATGCAAACCAGTCAAAAAAAGTTTTTACTTCAAATCACCAAAATTAATAACAATTAAATTGTACTGTCTGACTTCAATTTGTTTGTCAAAAATCAATCAATTGATAAAAATACTGACCAAAAATCTTGTATTCCTACAATTGACATGTCGACAAGGACGCGAAACCCAGCCCACAAAGTCACGAAAACCTTAGACAATGGCGGCTAGCGACTTACAGAGTTGGCAAACAATTTTTTTCTATCAACTTTCTTTAAGAAAGAGAATTCAGGGTAGGCGGTATGCAAATGAATCATATATTCATAATGTTAATCTATTTCAAAAACTTTTACAAAAGCTTTGTAAAAATTGGAAAGCTTTTTAAATAGGAACATTGGCTGAGTGCTGTTATAAAACAATTTTTTTTTTGGCCTGGTTAATAGAATACTTTAGAAAGAAATATAATGCATGGTTCTTTTTTTTAATTTCAGACGCCACCTAGTAAAGCCTGGCAAACTTTTAAGAGAATCCTGGGATATTTTCAAGGAAAGTCACCAGAAAAAACATGAATATTTTGAACAGTACACATTTTATAACAGCCAATCATATATAGATAACTCAGTGTGTTTGTATTTTTTACTAACACATGTTACAGCGATTATACAAGTACTTAAAATCATGTCTCGTAAGTGATACAGAAGCTGCTGTGAACTCGGTCTGATCTTTAAGCTCTACCATGTACAGTTGTGCTTTTTAAAAGATTAAACTCGTTCCACACTATCAGGTTTTAAGTGAAAATCAGTGGCAAATCCAGGGATTCAAAATAGAGGGAGCCAGGGAAGCACTTTAACAGATGGTAGGTCTAGACCACTTTAGTACCACCATGGGGATTTTGGCTTTGATTATTAATTATTTACCCATATACAGCAAAGATACTAGAAACACAAGATAAGAGTTCTCCACAGAAAAAAAATGTTCCACCGAAATTCATGGTGGGAATACAAACAATGGGGCGCTGCGTACGGCTGGATCTAAAAAACTTCTGCCACCGTTACATAATTGTGAATACATAACCTCCTTTTGCGGAGGTTGAAACCATTGCCATTATCCGTAAATAAATAAATTAATAAATAAATTAAAACAATAACATGACAGACACAAAAGAGCAGAGTCGTATGATAAAGTTTTCCTCCATTAGTGGAAAAAGAAGGGCGCCGCATGCGTCTGGATATACCTAGCAACAGAAGGGCGCCCTATACGTCTGGACCAAGTATAGAAAATTTACATTATAAAAAGAGAAGCGCGAGGCGTACGTCTGGACCAATTTCCGCCTCATTTTTGCTATGCGAGTGCTCTATCTTGTATTTCTAGTATCTTTGATATACGGGTGAAGCGCACAGAGTTCTCACATAAAGCTTGATAGTTTGAATAGAACTTTAAGTTCCCTGTCATATTTATGTGTGTTATTAAAAGTGGAGTGAAAAATGTGTTTTGTTTTAAACAAACTGTAAATAAACAGTCAAAGTGATGGAATTATGGTGCAAGTTATGAACGCAAATAGCAACGGGACCCATTTTCTTATGAATGTGTAAATAAAGTTATGAATATTGAGAGTTGTACATAGTCATCATGATAATTAAATATTCATTTTCTTATTTCTGATATCTAAGTAATTTTTATTCAAAATATTTAAGTAAGATTAGGAATATTTAGATTACTTATTTGGAATGACTATGTCTCTTTTTACCACTTTTTGTATGTTGTATACAAATTTTGATCTAGTCATGTCTCCTGTTGCCTTTTAATTTGTGTACAAATTTATGTTTTATGTTTAAACAATTGTGTTATATTTGTCTAGTTTAGTCCATTTCTTCTTAATCAGATTAACTTGTGGGAAAATAAATTATATTTCGAAATAAATGATGATTGTGTCTAGCTAGTCTTTATTTATTAAGAAATACACTTATAAATAAAGAATGCATTAAGCTTTGTCTACACTATCAATTTTTATGTGACAAATAAATGTGATATGCCCATATTTGGGTGTAATATGACATCATCATGGCCGTATATGCGTACATCACACAATTTAATAGTGCGGACAAATCTTTAGAGTGATAGACTAGTTGAAAACCAATTCCATGATACAGATTCATGATTCATGTTACAGTGGCCCTATTTATTGTTTGTAAATTTACAGCATTCATTTTGAAAAGAAGCCCTCACCCTCCCCGCATTACTTTGCAAAAGTAACCTTAAAAAAAATCCGAAAGAAAGCCCATCTCAAGAAGAAGCCCATCCAAAGTTCGCCAAAAAATAAAGCACAGGGCTTCTATTAGATGTGTCTGGTAGTCGGTATCAATATTATTTTAATGTACTAGCATGGTTAAAAAAAAGTGGAAAAAATATTATAAACAATTTCAAATTCCATAGTTGTAAAATGTCGTGAAGTAGCAATTCCAAACAATTACAACATTGTGTTTGAAAAGAATCCCCCTCCCCTCTTTAATTTGCAAAACTAACCTCTAAAAGAAGCCCATCTTGAAAAGAAGTCCATTCAAGGGTCCTAAAAAAGAAGCCCAGTGCTTTTTATTCCAGGTTCATTATCATCATCATCAGTGATCATCATCATCGTCATCATCATCATCATTATTATACTGTACCATACTAGGCCCGCTAGTCACTACTGGTAGCCAAATATTCTATCAAAGAATGGCTAAGAATAATATCACTGTAATAATTATGGCAACACTCAAATATAAAGAGCCTTCACTGAGAGGGTCAATTGAAACACGTTGTACGGTCGGAGCTCGAGCGTTAGGCTCGAGCCATAATGTATTCCTTCATAAACTTCATGAATAATTTATCTTTCTCGGTATCCTTTTAAATAAAAATCCAATTACTAAGGGGTTGGCGTGTGGGTGGGTGAGGTGGAATACTAATATAATAAATTTCGAAGAAGCCACTTAAAAAAGTTTAAACGAAACTTCAGAAATATCGAGATGATCATTAAAATACTATCAAAAATATTTTATATATTATATTAGATGAACATAATGGTTACTAGAAGACTCTACATTTCATCAGAAAACTTTTAAAATCTGGACTAAAGGCATTATTGTCTCACCATTGTTTTTTTTTTCTTAAACCTACAACAGTGGCAGACTTTCTAAAGAAGCACTACAGATATTCCGTAGTTCCTACGGAAATTACGCCTAGTTACGGACGCAGGCGGAACTAATACGGAAATTTATCATAGGCCTAGACCCATAAATAGGTCAGTCCAGAACAAATGGCCTTTCCATTAGGATCTTTGGTTACATTGTCCCTACCTAGACAACTCATAATTCTTGTAAGATTACTGAAATTATTGAAATTGAAAAAGTGGCCCGTAAATCTTCATCCTGCCAGTGCCTCGTTATTATCCTAGTGTGCCTTTAATTTAAGCAACCATATTGTACTCAGGACAAATTATGAGGTGCTACGGAAATGTTGTATTTAATGGATATTTGAATGTATTTTACGAACTTCAATTGAGAACTGCAACAGTATACAAGCCTATAATAATTTACGAATTATACTCGATAGTTTATCTTAGTTTGCTTCAGAATCGATTGATATACGTGATTGAACTTGCTGGTATAACAATTAGCCATTTAAATTCAATGTCAAAATAATAATTTATTTTTATGCCTATGCATATGAATGAAAAGGTGAACCTCGAAGATCATATTCGTATTTAGTATTTAAAGTCAGATTATGGAGGAAAATAATTTTTGGATATGTTGTAGAACTGATTTTTCTAAGACAGAAAAAAGTTGTTTGACGAAAAACTGGGGAACGATGAACAAGATACAGATTTTTGAATATTTAAAAACTGGGGAAAAAGGGGCGTAACCGCCCATTTTTACACCCCCCAAAAGTATCCCCATTTATGCCTGAAATTGAATAAATATTGCCACTGAGAAGGTGTAGGATGGAGAAATTATTTGTGAAACTTAGGGCCGTGTCCCCAGGGAAAGTGAAAATCAATGGATATGGAGGGGCTTTATAATCGATTTCAAAATCTCATTTTCCATCAAAATAATTAAGTTGTGACATTTGACGTAGGCCTAAACGAAAACTCGATCGATTTTGAAAGGTGACAGTTTCACAATTAAACTTTACGCACTGGATGATACAATTAATTCATTTGCTTCAAGAACACCATAAAAAATTAATGGTTACGTCTGTTGGATGTTCTGTATTTCCTTTACTTTATTTATGAGAATACACAGAAAATCTATCAATAACCAATCATAATACAATTCATAAATAGGTCAGGGAGAGCTGTTAAAGCTAAGTAATACTGTGACTGGATTGATATTTTGTGGTGTTGTATGCCTGCAGTCCAACTGTAGATCGCAAACATAACAGCAGGCCGATGAATGAGAAATTGATTTTAATTTATATTGGGTTGAAATTTATCAATCCTCATTGCTTCTGCTTAATATCGTGTTACTTTTGACGCTAATACTAAAGTTGCAGTAGTACAATCAGCTGTTTATTGTGTTGTTGCTGGTTATTAGACTATACCATTCACTTTTAGAGGTGGAAGTCATGTAAAAGGGGAAAAAACATCCTGTCATGTTATTGTCTAATGTACTTAAAAAATGATAGTACTTACATTGTACCTTACAATATTTTGAAATAAAGGTAATTAAAGATATTGTATTTTGTGAGATATTTCGCTGATTTTGCTGGACGTGTTGACGCAAATAGACGTGACGGGACCATTATAAAGATATGACATCGGTGACGGCATTAGATCCGTCTATTTTGTATTTGGGTAAGCAAAAAATGTATATATATATACTATTTCAACAGGTATTTGTAAAATACCCTCTTTAGATTTGAGAAATGGGGTATACAGCTAATTAATTTTTCCCTCTATAAAAAAAAACATATTAAATTGTATTTTAATTTAAACGTATATCATTTTTAAAGAGTTTCAACCTATTTACAAATGGTATGCGCTACAGAATCATTGTTTTGGTCCGAGCAGCTTCGGATACACAACTATCTTGGGCGGAAGAAAACTGATCTGGCCTAGCAATTATTTCTTCATTTTCATACAGATTTCGACGATCAAAATGTCATCTCCGACACCTGGAAAACGTCGAATGGACATAGATGTTATCAGATTGTATCCTTTTGTTTCTTTTACATAATAAAGTATAATTCTCAAAGTTTATTATTGATGTATATGCTGGGCTAGACGAGAAGGTCATACTGTAATTCGTTGTATCAGCTGTTGTTGAATGTATACGTAAACGTATGTACGGTGACGACTTTGTTGATTGGGCCCAATCGTCCTATCCAACAAAATGGCCTACTGATATGGCTTGGCATTATGGCCTAATCTGCCTTGTTTGCTTTCACAAACATGAGCCCACACTTGAATGTATCTTTATGTAATTACATATCAGATATCTTTTGTTAATTTCATTTGAATAGGCCAAGCTAATTCTAAATAGTAATCGTTTAATTCAATTAACAACTGACCATCTTCCTAGCTAGGCCTACCCATCACGAGTATCACTGTATCAGATTAAATATTAATACAGGGTGAATACTAATATATGATAATGAAAGACAGAGGCCAATTGACTCACTGATGTAATGTTATGGGTCATATCATAATGCAGCAACTTCTATAATAATAATATGTTTCTATAGATGTTGGTTAAAAAAACATTACTTTGTAACTTTATAATTGCTTTCTTTTGTTGTTTTTGTGATGTGCTACTCTGAAGAAATATGCTATGTAGGGGGTCCAATTCATATATTTATATCAATTTGATATTGATATTTTGATTTCAAAAAGAACACCAGGCTGTAAGATATTATCGACCTTTATAAATATATCAAAACACATGGAAATAAATTACAGGGCTACTTATTTTGTACACTACAAAACAAGTCAGCAGAAACCTCTCATGATCACTGAAAAATAAACTAACAAAAAAAAAACAAAAGAATGACCAAAATTGTATTCTAACATACTAATTGCATACTATTACTATGCAATAATATAAAAATGAAGTAAAAAATTGAAGCACTAAAATATTCTGCTTCCACATTTTTGTTAAAGCATAAGTAGAATGCAATAAATTAAAGGCCACTTTTAGGACCAGGATTTCCATGGCCTATAGCAGCTTTGGTCTCTAATTAGAATAATAAAGTTAAAAGACATTACTGTAGTTAATATGAGATCACAGAAAAGTGGTCTTTAATTAGAGGTGATCTTCAATTGGAGGGGTCTTTAATTAGATGGAGACCTGTATTAGTGTTGGGACTATACAGCAATAGAAGTCAATGAGAAGCACTGTCAAAATATTCTACATTAAAATTCAATAAATGGCATAATGATGATGAACGAAGACAGAATTTAGTACGGTAATAATTTTAAAAATATAAATGATGTAATTTCATTTGGATTCAATACAGTACATACTGTATTTTGAAATGAAACATATGAAAATGAATATTTAATGTCAAGATCGCTTTAATAATATATGGTACAGTGTTTGAAATTCAGATGTTTATCCATAGGCTGATACACCTTGTACATTTGTAGTCTGATTTTATACCAAACATTATTATTATTATTATTATTATTTATTCAGGCAAAAGTTACAATATACAATATATAATACAAATCAAATGAACATGGACAATAAGAAAGAAAATATGATAACACTAGCTGCCAGGAAGATACAAAAGCAGCCGAAGCCACTGTCACCAAATAGGTGTGTACCTCCAACTAATGGTACCAAACATATCAACATAGACAATAACAATTTTAAAATCTTTAAAACACTTAAATATAATCCTATAATTTAAAAATTAAATAAATATAATTATATTAAACTAAATTAAATAAATATTTATAACCAAATTACATATTTGTGAAACTAAATTAAATACAAAAGATTAAATTGACATTAAAATTAAACTGATCCTAACAGTCCTCTTCATAATTTAGTCAACAGGTAAGTACTGCTTTCTCAGATTATTGCTGCGAAGCAGCCAATTCATATTCTTGACAGCAATTTGACCTCTGAAAGGTCATTGTTTGTCAAAAAACAAGGGCCTAAGACGACTGAAAAGCGGAGTTTCCTTCTTTCGTTCTGCCGGGTAAAATCAATTA